CCTAAGTCCAATCAAGAGGGAAGTTGCTGTTCAAACTATCGAAGTAGGAAAAATCCCTTTGGAACTGACACATTAATTTACTTGCTTCCAAAAATTGACAACATTTTATTTGTGCTGCATCAGGTTCATTGTCAATGGATTGCATAGACCAATGGTGAAAACTCATCTACTTTAGATATCAAAGCAGGTAAGATTTGTTCCCTTTAGAGTGACATTTATTATGTTACATTTGGAGATTATGGTACCAAACTACCAATGGCCATACAATGAACGTAGCCCTCCGGCATTCTGCTAAATCCAACTCACGACTTTCACATAGTTCAATCTGAGACTTCCAAGTTGGCCATACATATGGAGATTATGGTACCAAACTACTAATGGCATACAATGAACGTAGCCCTCCAGCATTCTGCTAAATCCAACTCGCTACTTTCACATAGTTCAATCTGATTGTGGCTGGGGCGTGTCCCCTTGGGGACATCTTTTGACATTTTTGTGTTGGCTTTATTTTTGCATCTAATCGAACTCTTTTTGAGATATGGCCTTCTAGAGATTTGTGTATCTCATTACAAGTTATACCGACATGATATTAGCTCTTAATGCATGCATCAATCTATAATGAAAGTAATGAACATCTTCAAGCAGTTTCTGAGTTTGAAAACATGTCTTTTCTTTTCCTCAACATCAATGAATTGTACTAATTGATGTTCAATTTTCTGTAGGTGAACATATTAAGAAATCGTGTGTGATGCTATAAAAAATTAAGTCAGGCGCTGTCGAAGAGGTATTGCTATATGGTCTTCACCGATCATAACCAGGGATTTAAATAGCGTTTTCGGTCGCGTTTGTCGCGGGTGCGGACATAACGGACGTCATCGCGGTCACTGCGGGTGCCGCGGTCGTGAATTATTTTAAATTTTGCATAACTTATCATAAAAACATAATAATTATAATTATAATTATAATGAGTCATTTTTAATGATTTTTAGAATGTTTTCTAAGCTAAAATGACATATATATAATATAGTTTAACTATACATAAGACTTTAAAACTCTGGTAATAGGATAAGATAATTAATTCATGATAACATTGTGAACACATTATTATTTAAATTACTGAAATTAGGATTAAATTAAACAAAAATTAAAGTTTACATTCTAAACTATAGATTAAATTATAAATTTTAAAAATTGGAAGGATAGCAAATTAATATTTCCTAAAGATATATTTTATAACTTACTTAATAAAAAATGGGTCCATAATGTTTTGTTTTATGACTAATAAAGCCGAAAATATTTAATCCTAAACTCTATTCCCCCCACCCACCACGTTCTCTCCTTTCTTCCTCATTTCTTTCTACTCTATTCTCTCAACACTCAAGTATCAAAACCAGGTAAAAAAACTCCAAAACCATAACATGTTTTAGCTTAAATCCAAAGCGTGAATGCTTTTCTTTTTTCTTCAACAATCTTAAGCTCCGACGAAGATTCCTTTCTCTGATTACAATGAATTTCACTCCGGCGAGACCCACAAAACATGTTCGTTCTTCCTTTTTACTTTTCTATTTTCTTTTTCCTTTTAAATCTCAACATGTATGTATAAAAAACGTGAATTTGAAAAGAAAAGAAAAAGGCTTGGTGACGATGAACACACAAAAAATCATCTTTTCTTAAGTTTTTTTTAGTAACGGTTGGAATAACGGTGATTGCATCCCGTTATCGGCGCAATCGTCCGTTTCCCGTTAAATTGTGGGCCAATTGACCGCGATCGGTGTGAATCCGTGACCCACCATAAAAACCATAAATATCTGTTTCGGACGGTGGTGCGACCACAATATCGCGGCCGCTATAGCGTTTTCGGAACGCTATTTGATACCCTGATCATATCAACGAATCCCATACTTTGAAAACCTTTTTTTCTCCCTGCTTTCGTATTAGCCTTAAAATTTGAAGAGGTTGTCTTTAGTATTTTTACCATCTTTTTCCAGTACAAGAAAGAGATTGAGACAATGTTAGATGTTTCCCGTCGAATATAGAGTCACATATTGCCAGAGGTGACACGATAACTCATCGTCACCACCCTCAGCTACAAACGATATCAGCTAACTCGGGTAATCAATTTCCTTCGATTTTATTCTATAATTTCTTTTCTCTCTCTCATTTTTTTGTAATTTTCTATATGAAAATGTTAGTCATATGTATAGGTACCAGGGTTTTTCTTTGCCAAGGTATAGATTTGTAATGTAACTTAAAAGTGTTTCCAGGGAAGCGTAAGTAGCAGAGTATGGTTATTGTAATGCATTTTCTCAATGCAATAGGCAAATGGCAACGTTAATGTTCATATTTAATGAATAATATCCCTTAAACGTTGCTACTTCTTTTAACCCTTTGATATTTGAAATATATGAATACTTTTAGAAAATGAATATTTTGGAATAAAATTAATGTAAAATTTCTGAGACAAATATATGTAGGGATGAAGCTATTCGTACCTGGGCATTACTCTCAATTTGTTATTATTGAAAAATATATACTAATATATATACTAATATAATTTAATAAAAAAATAGAAGTGTCAGTGGCCTTATCCGTGAAGGATTTATTTTGGAAATTTTGTTTAGAACTTGATATCAAAGTTGGATTATTGGAAGGGTATTATGGTATTTTCAAAGGAAAGATTTTTTATCCTCCCCCTTTAAATGACATAAGCACGTGGAAAAGGAGAGAAATTTCTTCAGAGTCTTCTTCAGTTTTCTTCTTCATCTCCACCGTGGGTTCTTGCATAAGGTAAGTTTGTCTTCAGTAAAGAATTTCTTTCGTTTTAAAGTTAGATTTTATTCTTGGGGTGGTAAGAAAGCTTAAAGAAAGCTTTAGGTGACTTAAAACTCAAAGATGAATAAGTTATGAAAGATTGAAGGTAAAGAGTTTTTAAGTGAATTATTGAAAAAGAATGAGTAAGTGAATTTTTAAGTTAAATTTGACTTGTGAAGGGTCTAATTAAGAGATATGAAGCGATAGAATTGAATTTAGAAATGTTGAAATTTGAGTATGATTCTGTCATATTCAGGGTAATTCACATTTTGAAATTCAAAATTATAATTAATTATTTATTTTATAAATTATATATATCTTAAAATTTAATTTGTATCTATCTTGAAGATATTTTTTTAATATATGAGTATTTACTCTAAAAATATATATATTTTTGATTGTCCTCTCGATTTTAAAGCATTGCCTTGACTAATCCAGACTGACTAGCGTTGCACACTTGACTTTGGTGTGTGAGTCTCCCAGTAGGGATTTTCTACATACACAAGAACTTAAACTCGATATCTTGCTTAAATGAAATCAAGTTACTTACCGCTTGAATCAATTCCTTTTGGTACTCTAAAAAATATCTTTAAATTCATTACTAACAGAGGACCCTTAAGTTAATCATGGCTAAATTAGAGCAAACATATTTGACTGATCATGAGTTTTAAACTCACTAGACCCATTCTACTATTCATTAAAGTTTTTTCCCTCTCTTTTTGATACTATTAGAATTACATTTAGAATTTGTTAAAGAAAATTGTGGTTGAATTAACAAAATGCCATTGGAAACATGCACCATGTGTGGTAGTACAACGGAGTGAGAAAACTTTCACCTATTAGAATTAACAAAAAGTCCAAACTCTGCATTAACGCCATTGTTGAACTTTGACTTTCACACCCTACTTCACTTACAAACCTTCTCAAAATTCTCACCGACTACTTGAATTAGAGTTTTCAAAGTATTAGATTTTTTGAGTTTTTTTTAATTAAAAAAATATAATTTTAAGTTTTTATTTTATTTTAAATACAAATTTAAAAATATTAAAAATGCGAAAAATATTAGTAATGAAATTTTTAACGACTAGGAGGAATGAGACACCTAAATAATAACACTAGACATTTAAATTAATTCAAAAAAGTATGAATTTAGGGGTGAAGATGAACCGATAATGATTAAGATGAAGATGGGCGACGCATGTTGACATGACAACCGATGACGATGACTGGTGATGAAAACTAACTATGGGCTATGACGACGATGAGTGGCGAGTAGAGAAATTAACTTTGACTGAATTTAGGGGTCAATTTATTTTTATTTAGAGTTTAAGAGTTAGATTAGTATTTTATGTAAAGTTTAAGGTAAAATTAATATTTTGTCTAAATTCAGAGGTCAAATTAAAATTTAACCATTTTTACGAACAATAAGGACCAAAGATAAAAGTGACTAAAACTAAAACCTTTTTAAACCGGTGACAAAAACTAACGGATAAAAAATATAAGATATCACTTGTATAATTTACCCTTAATAAAATTCATAATAATATTTGATATTTCAACTGTTTAGGGAATGATATTGTGCCAACCCTACCTATGTTAAGCTCACAAATTTTAGAAGTTACCAAAGGCTCGGCCATACCCGTCAATGTAGTGTCACCTATGATTATTTTCTTGTTACAAAAAAACAATGTTTTTTTTTGAAATTTCGAGTTCGGGGCATGACGAGTTATATGATATATAGATTCGAGTTGGGATGAGACTATATTTTAGGTAAAAAAATCAATGATCCAACCCACCCTTATATAAATTGTTAATTTACTCATTTATATTTATAATATATTTAAAGTTTTAGAGGTTTTTTATTTTTATAATGTTAAAATATATTCTTTAATAGTAAAAAATGTAGTAAATTATTATAAAATAGATTATTTTAATCATTTAAAATATAATAAATGATTATAGATATATTATTATGATTAAATATATTATTTTAATTATTTTAAAATACTAATATATTGTATATAGTTAATATTGTACAAACCCTGTCTATGATAAGCTAATGGGTTTTAAAAGGGCTCGACCAGGCCCATCAAAATAGTGTAACCAATGATCAGTTTGTATTGTAGTTTTCTTGTTACAGAAAAACGTTTGACGTTACCTGTTATAAGTTTTGTTTGTCTTCGCTTTCTTTCATATTAGTTCCCATCGTCCTTCCCCAAACAAAATCATCTATTAAAAAACACAAAGGAAATAGAGAAGATAAAGAGGGAAGATGCAAGGGTTGATCAAAACTAGAACCGAATTACCAGAGATGTTGGTGTTGGAGATTCTCTCAAAGCTTCCTGTTAAATCCTTGACCCGTTTCAGGTGCATTTGTAAGCCCTGTTCTTCATCTTTTGAAACCCATTATTTCATTAACAAACATCATCAGAACAATCTAAAAAATAATAACCTTAATCTCCTCCTCAAACGTTGTCATGGTGGCACCCCTGATGACATCCATTATTTCTCTCAACTTTCGACTGAGAAAGACCAAAATTTTAGAGTAAAACACAATATTCACTTACCCTTTTTTGAGAATTTTGTGCATGGACCTTTCGTTCATGGCCCTTGTAATGGAATATTGTGTTTAGTAGAACGAGGTAGTAGTGGGCATAATGTTGCCCTTTGGAACCCATCTACCAGAGAGTTTAAAATCCTTCCTCAATCCACAGTCCAGCGCCCTCATGTACTACTGGATTTCTCTAGTTTTAGTCCCATTGGTTTTGGGTATGATTCTCAAACTGATGACTTCAAATTTGTAAGATTTGTTACTAATTACTTTGAAGAGAATCTAGATGAAGGGTTGATGGCAGATTGGACCAACCAAGTTGAGTTATATTCGCTTAAAAGCGATTCATGGAATTAAATTTCATATCCTGAGGTTGATGGTTTTCCTTCTATTTTGTTTAATAATTATGTCAATGGGTTTATTTATTGCCAATCAAATACAATTGATCCCCTTATTCTTTCATTTGATATGGTTAATGAAAAGTTTTCAACTTCACCACTGCCTGAATTTGGTGGGACTTTAGAACAATATTATTTGGAACTTTTGGACTTCAATGGATTGCTTGGTGCTATTTTTTACCCAAGGGAAGGAACTGACAAGTCTTTTGATTTATGGGTTATGAATGGGTCATGGACTAAACTATTCAGTGTTGAATCTGTTCTCAGAGTTGAGAGGCCTTTAGGGTTTTGGAAAAATGGCGAGTTGTTTCTCGAGAGCTCGGATCAAGAACTAGTTTTATTTGATCCCTCCATACAAGAGCTTAGAAATCTTGGTATTTACGCTTATCAGGAAACAATGCACATTACTACTTATGTTGAGAGCTTGGTTCCATTGAATGGAAGATCAGAGCATGAGGAATGTATAATACGACGGCCAGCCGGAGGTGAAACAAATTGATGTTGAACACTAAGACAGATGGGGAGCTACAACAAAATAGGTAAGATTTAATGGGATTTGGTCTCTTCCTATGCACTTTATGTCAACTATATTGTCTAGTGATGTTCTCAAGTATTGTTGTTATTGTTTGATTTATATATAGATGCCCTAGATATTGACTTGTTTAGCTTTATGTTTGCTTTTGGTTGTTTTAGTGGATGCACGAAATTACATCCTACAGATTTTCTTAGGTTTTAACTCTGATCTGCATTATCCAAAGAATGATCTTTAGTAGGACCAGTTTCTGAAAAGAAGAAGAAAGAAACCATATCCATGCATGAATGGACCGTAAATAGACCTAATCTGCAGTTTAATTAATAAGAACAACTTAACAATACCAACGAAATATTATTTTACTTTACAAAACTATGATTAAACAAATATTTTTCAAGATAACATTGAAGCATACAATAATACAAAACAATATCACGCTTACACTCACGAGCAACCAACTCCAGTTTCATTAAAAACAGAGTAGCGTTTCCAAAAATATAAAGCTGCTTTAAAGCAAAATAAGTAAGGATTTCAGGAACCCACCAAGAACATGAAGTTTGCATTGGCCAAAGAGCTGAAACTCGGTCTTTGTACTGCAAGTTGAAATTTTTAAGGACCCAAATTCAACGAAAGGAAATTTGTAGTTGATAGATTTTATTGAAGGAAAGACCCCAAATTCCAGAAGTCAGTTTCATTCTAATCTTCTTCAAGAAAACATTGAAAACAGCAAACTTTACCGCCAAAAAAAAAAACTAGTTAAAAACTTTAAGAATAACCCAAAATCTGCAAAAACTTTAAACCCCAACACTGGTAAAGGCTTAAAGAACCTGAGAAAGAGTGTGCATGGAAAAGAGAAGTGGGAGAATTGGGTTGGTTTGTTAAAGAGTTGTTTACTTTTTATAGGGTTTTTTGAGGAGATTATGGAAGGAATTTTATGAAAAATGAAAATATATATGAAAAAAATTGTTAATTTGACAGCTCATATCCAACCATGCAGAGTAACATAGATAAGAGTAGTTGATTTTAATTTTCGTTTTTAATCATTATAAAATAAATGTTTGATTTTAATTTTCTTTTGAAAATTAATTTTTCTCATTTTTAATTTTTCCTCTTAATTTTATATTTTGTTCAATTTAATCTTATATATGCAACCCTATGTAAATTTGTTCTTTACATCAATTTCTTGAATTTATCGTAATTCAAAAAATATTTTATCGTTTAGAAAAACTATTCTTTTAGAAATAGTATTATAAATTCACGAACCAATTTATCTCAGTGGTTAAAGGAATCTTTAATGTTTCTAGAGATCATGAGTTCGAGCATAAGCAACTACAAGAGTGATTGAATGTTCATTGACAAATGATTGAGAGTATTTAGAACAAATACTACTTTGTAATCACTTTTAGCTTAATAAAATATAATAATATTATTATAAATATATTAAATAATTTTATATGATAATTTATTTATTAAATGATATTATAAATCTTACTATATATATATATATATACATGATAAGAGATAATTATTGTTTAGATTGAAACCAACAAGTATCATAATATCATAAATAATTATATTTAATTTTGAATAAAAATTAAGTAAATTTATTTAATTTTACTTGATTTAAATTTTACAAACTCAATATTGAATATTTTTCCACTTGATCAAATAATCATCTTACTTATGATGATTGATTTTAGAAGATATATAGAGAAAGATTCATATTTGATAAGTTGAGTCTCTCGACTATTAAAAATTATAAAATAGTCATTCGACTATAAGACGTCACTTTGTTATGTCCCTCGACTATTAAAAGTTACAAAATGGTCACTCCACTATTCATATGTGTCAAACCCTTCCCTTTTTGTTAAAACATTGATAACAATCTGAATTAGATTTTAACCTACTGACTAAGATATGTTAAAAATATAATCTCAAAATCTTAAAAGACTATCGTATCTCAGTCAACAAGTTAACGTGCAGTTCATATGACCTAAATTTTTTTACTGAAAAAGGACGAATTTTGAATATATGAATAGTTAGGTGATCATTTTATAACTTTTAATAGTTAAGGGACTAAAAATAACGTTATATAATCATAAGATCATTTTGTAACTTTTAACAGTTGGGAGACTCAAAAAAGTAACATCCTATAGTCAGATGACCATTTGTGTACTTTACCTTATTTTTTAATGATATACTATATAATTATATATTTAGTAATTTGAATATTGTTACCATTGTTTTTAGATGCATTATAGGTGTTGTGTTTGTAATGTGAGGGTATGGATATCTTTGTCAGAGAAGTTTCAAAACCTAGGTTGGCGGTTTTTCTGGGAAATAAGCCCATGTCCTTTGTCCGAAACTACCTTCCTCACATGCTTCTATTTTCCCTCCAACTTGCTTTACTCTCAACTCTTCCTATGTTGTGTCGACTGACTCTCCACACGTAGCAGGCGCACATAAGAGCGTGACGTTCAAAACCCATAATGAGAAAAGTATGGAGAGGTGGGTGTCAGTTTGACCGTGCGATAAAAAGTCTACGAGGATTTAGTCTTAAAGATGGGGGTTAGGGTAGGACCCACACACTTTCAATTTTTGTCTCTCTCTCTATAAATAGGTTTATATTATAATATATATTTTTTTAATTTAAATATATAAAGTATTTTCTTTTATCGAAAGAAATACTTACCATTATTATTATTTTGATTAAAATGGATATATATATTTTTTAAAAATAAAATGTACACAATTAGTTTTTGAATTTTATTTTATTTATTAAGCTAAATGTGATTACAGAGTAACATTTATTTTTATTACTATTAACCATTTGATAATAAAATAAATGCTCAATTACCCTTGCAGTAGTTAGTGCTCAAACCCGTGACTTCTAGAAATAACAACGATTCTTTTAACCACTCATGTAAGTTGGGTTGTACCCTGAATTTTATCTTAAATTAAATAAAATGTAAAACTTTATTGGGTAAAATACATAAATGGTCCTCTAACTATATGGTTTTGTTTTATTTAGTCTCCGACTATTGCAAGTTATAAAAGGTCCCTCAACTTAGAGTGTTGTTTTGTTGAGTTCATCGACTATTAGAAGTTACAAAATGATCTCATGTCTATTCATATGTTCCAAACTCATCATTTTTTGTTAAAAGTTTGATGATAATCTGAACTGAATGTTAATATGTTAACTGAGATATGATATTCGTTTGTGTTGAGTTAATCGATTGACGAAATCGGCCAAGAGGGGGTGAATTGGCAATTAAAATTTTAGTGGAAGCTTTTGCAAAAAATTGAAAAGATTTGCACAGTGATTTAGAGTGGTTTGACTTTCTCAACCAAAGTCTACGTTCACTACCTTAGCTATCCACTCTAAGGATTTTCCAACAAATTCACTAATTTGTTCTTTCTTTTGAGGCCAAAGAGATAACCTTACAACACCCTCAAGAATATACCCCAATTCTTGAGAACACTCTTTCTCAAAGAGAAGATTACAAATTTGCAAACTTACAAGGAAATCCTCACAAGGTAAATTGTTTGCACAATTCTAGAATAAAGAAAGAACACTCAAGAATAATTCAATTGAGCACAATAAGTGTTCTTGAAAGCAAAAATGAATATTGAATGAAATAGGCTTGAAAATGCTCAAACTTGAGGTTTGATGCTTTCTCTTTGATTCTCTCTTGATTCTAGTTGCTTGTTGTTTCTTGTTATTGATCAATTGCTTCTAAACTTGTTTAAATACACCTTCAATTGATTTTGAACGTTGGGGATGATTAGTGAAGTCAATAGAGTCGTTTAAGTGTGAAAACAATTAATAAATTCAGTTGGGAGCGTCTCATGCATCGATGCATACCCTAGGTGCATCGGTGCATCAAGTGTAATGTAACCCCTCAGACCCGGTCTGTAAGTTAGACCCAAACCTAAATGGTCACCTATCCCAATCAGATATTTTTTTTAGAAAACCAACTTATAATACATTAGATATAATACATAACAAAATATAAATAATACAGATATATCCAAAACGATAGCAAATACATGTCACCAAACACAACTGAAAAACATATAGATATATGCGTTTGTACAAATTAAGTAGTTGATTCCCCTGATGCCAAATCTGCTAGCTTACGGTCTGCTACTATCTGAAAAAGGTAAAAACTATAGAACGAGCTAAAAAACCCAGTGTACTTCAAACAGTGTATAAAAAACATACTAATAAAATATTTCAGTAAAATCATTTCATCAAACATGTTTGTTTTATTTAAAATATGAACACTACCCCCATCCGTCACGAACAAAATGTGTAAGTTCCCCAGAACCATACACCCCATAACGTCCAGTAAGGCCCTGAGCACAAAGCCGAGGAGCATGCAAGTATTCTTCCTCCAACAATATTTCCCCCCAATGTCAGTAATAAATAAGTATGTATTCAAGTAAAATTGGTGAATAATTCAAGCTTTTAAAAAAACCATATACCGAAATACAGAAATCAGATATCAGGAAATCAATATTCAGGAATCAAGTATCATGTATCATGTCATAACAGTATTATGAATTATCACCAATCTAAAAAAATTCAAGTAATATTTTTAAAACAGTAAAATAACACTGTCATGAAACACACCTGTAACAATCTGAGAAATCAGATAGGGAAGCCTATTATTGGGTTTGTCAATCACACTCTGCGGCAGCGCTAGACCATACGAATTGGAAAAATCCATATTGGAATCCTAATATAAATAATCTTTATTTAAATAATATACAGAAACCTACGGGTAATTCTTATAGTACGCGATTCAGGTTGATCTGATGAACGAACAACTCCAGACCTAACTGATCCACACTCAGGTGAAACACGAGTATCTTCATAAAATATTTTATTGAATCAATTCCTTAACCAAAACTTAAATAAAAAAAATCAAAATATTAAAATACTAAGCCTTTTGGTTTCACATGCTCGATTCGGGGATTTCGGG